GGGAAAACGAGAGAGCAGAGCGCCGACAACTCCAAACTCAAACCCCCGCGTCAACCCCAGCAATTCAAGTTGACACGCCACCGGAGCTGCAACACCCATCATCGGAAGCAGCCTATTCCCAGCACCAGGGAGACATAGAAAACGTGGGAGAGAATAATTGATCTTGGCTCCGACACCCGCCTAGTGCCCTAATGGAGAAACCACGTTTAATGGAGAGGCCCACGAAACGATGGCAGGCCGGGACCACAGGCCGGCGGTGTGCCCCGGTGTGGATGAGCTTGGAAGGGAATTAAGGAAGAATTTCCTTAGAAGAGATTTGGGGAATTAGGATTGAGAGGAATATTAGGGCACATTCAATCACACTCTAATTCGTCATAAAATCAAACAAATGTCTAAGGAACACTAGATCAAAAGCAGCAAACTCATATATATTCATCATTAAAAAATATAACACAATCACTAAAAGTAAATAGCTCATAACAAAATATCCCTACTCATAGTACTTCACCCTATTACTAATGTTATTATTACTATAATACTGATTAACCACATCCTCTTGCCCAACACCATCATCATCAATACCACCATTCATGACATCATTACCAAAACCACCGTCCCCCTTTGGAAACTGCAGCATCGGCATCGGCAACTGCATCGGCGGCACCATCTGCACGTAAGGCGGCTGCACCACCGCCATCGGCAGGCCATAGTATCGGGCCTGCTGCTTCGGGCTGTGGCCCATCACACCCGCAGGCTGCACCCCCATTGTCTCGTACAAAACTTGCTGCCGCTTGTACGACACGTTGGGCCCAACAGGCCCGAATTGCATCCGGTGCTCGTTCTCATTCATCAGCAGCATCATCATCATCGAGTTGTTCTGGTAGTGGTGGTGGTAGTCCACCGCCGGGTACTGGGCCGGGCCCACGTCCAAATTATCGGGCCTCACAATGTCCAATATCTCTACCCCTCTCGAGTCCACGCTCCGCCGGAGCTGCTCGATCCTCGACCGGACGTGGTCGGCCTTCACCATGAGGCTGGCCGCAAACTCCCTCAACCGGGCTTCGGTCATGAGGCCCATGAAGTCGGGGCACGTGGGGTACTTGGCCTCGAGATTCTTCTTCCGGAGCTTGGCCAGCTCGTCCTCGATCTTCCGCTTGCGGTCGTGGAAAAAGTCGGGCAGTCCGAAGGTCTTGTTGCCCGAGTCCTTGCTCTTGGCCCGGTAGATGTCGACGATGCGCCGGACCTCGTCCGGGTCCCGAGGCCAGGTTTCGGGCTCCGAGTCGTGCTCTTGTTGTTTCGGGCCGTAGATGATCATGCACGCGCTCACGTCGCACAACGTCGTGAACTCGTGCATTTTTCGGACGAGGCCCTCTTTTCGTTTCTTGTAAGTCACGTTTCTTGATTTCTCCTTCGGTATGAGTTCCATGTTCAGCTTCGCCCTACCCATGATGATGATGGTGATGGTGTTAATGTCCCTGCGTAGAGAAAAAATTGAAGGACCTTTTTATAATAATACATGGCATGGATTTATTGATTTTCCTTAATTTAATGATATTTAGTTTTGGAAACTCCGACGTTGTATTTGGTAATGGGATTTCTTGATTATTCTTTGATGATAGTGTTTAGTTATAAATCACGATATAGAACAAATTATATCCAGCTAATCTCGATTTTGTTTCCTTGTGTGACGTGACGAGACTCTAATTTTATTGAACTTTTTTGTTGACTAATTGATTGCTTCTCATTCGTTTCCGTAGTTAGTTATCAACATTGTTTTAAGATCCGTGCTGATGACGGTTCACCTGGGCGGGCCTTCGGGCCCGTAGTCGGGTCATCAGTCGATATAATTAATTTTATAATTTTTTTTTTAAATTATATTTTAGGGATTTCGTTACAGAATTATTCTGTCAAGGTTTGGAACCGTTAAATAAATTATTCCCGACAGCTATATGATGATCTAACGGTTATAAACCTCGACGTAACGATTCCGTTATGGGATCGTAGCATTTCTCCTATAAATTAAAGGACCTTTTTATGAATATTTATCACATTGAGAGTTTTAATTAGTGTGTGATAATTATATTCAAGTAATCATATAATTAATTTTTATAAAGTACAATTCTGACATTGATACCTCTGGCATTGTATGTGCTACATGTTATTTTTATGTAAATAATAAAAAATTATACTTCCTCCTATTTTAACAAGTGTCATTTCAAGAAGTTATACATTAACTAAGAAATTATTTTTTTCCAATAATAACCCTCATTAATAGGATAAAGATGAATGTTTTGAGAAAAGATGAAGAGTGAATATGAAAAGTCGTAATGTATTTATTAGCTATATAATGATAATATTAGAAAAATATGAACAAAAAATCTAAAATGTTGTTTATTTAGTTAATTGTTGATAAAGTCAAAATAACATTAAAAAAAAAGGTAGAATCTCTAACCACTCAGGTTAATTTATGCACTAGATAAATATTAATTTTTATGTAATTTGATAAAAGAATTCTCTTTTACCTCTCGAACTATTATTTTATTTAGTCCTAACTCATCCTCGTCCTCGTGTATGAATGCAGAATGCGTCCATCTTACATGTCGATTTTTTATTGTTCGTAATCATATGGTGTTTTGAAATAGCTAGTCATATAGATTTAAATTGTATCACTGCCTATTAGAGCTTTTAAAATCAAAATGCTTGACTAACTGATGTGGATAGGGCATTATTATTATTATTATTATTATTATTATTATTATTATTATTATTATTATTATTATTATTATTATTATTATTATTATTTTTATTATTATTTTTATTATTATTATTATTATTATTATTATTCCTAGCATTTAATAATTATTTGTTAGTTATGTTTATTTCTTGGTGAACAACTTAGGTCTATGGATTTAGAAGTCTTATTTAAACACTCCTCTTTCTTTGTTATTGAGTAGTTGTTTATCAAATAAGAAATTGATCGTTTTATCGTGTTCTGAGACTGAAATTGCGTTCTATCCTTCTTACTCGTACGCCTACATTAGTTGGTATCAGAAATCAGTATGATTTGATATGCCGCGCGACGACAAGATGCAGCAAACAAACCACGTGATGCAACCTTCAATGACCGATTTCAACAAATGGTCGAATGTTTTACGGATCAGTGTGCGAATCTTTCGACGGGGATCAACGATTTGCATCTGACACTCAATACCATAGTTCGAGACAAGCAAACGTACCATGGTTCCATCGACCGAGGCATGCGCGTGGGATTTACCGGCGAACGTGTTGGTCGTGGTCAGGCAGAGCGCCCTGCCGGTGATCCCCACAACCGTCGGATGGCAATGAAGACGACAAGCATCAGCGCTGCGACAGGGGCCTGCAGCGCGAGGATACGACCCCTTCGACGGCGAGCAGCAGAGCCGCGAATGGGACCAGCAGCGCGAGGGCGCGGGCTTTGCGAGTAAAGCGCAACAGCGACATGACCTTCTCGTGCGATGGAGGGTTACGACAATTCTTTTCTAAAATGTCACTGCACAGAGGGCTTGGGCGCCCCGATTTTTCCCGACCAGCGGCGGCGCATGGGTTTTAAGGGTGAACCATGGCAGCGCGAGCCGCAGCGCACTGCAGCGGCCGTTTTCGAAAGCCAAAGCCAACGACAATAGGTGGGGCGAGAAATTCGCCAACAACGTGAACCAACGGTGCCGTGCGATAGAGTGTTTCGACGATGAGGGTTTTCACGTCGCGGCCCAAGGGCGCAATTTTCGACGTGACGAAACCCTAGGCAACTTCTAATTCTGTGAGCAGAGGCGGCCAGTGGGTGAGTTTAAGGAGGCCTAAGCGTACGACGACTGACACGCTGCTTGGGGCTGGGCCGATGTTCCTAGGCGCGACCGGCGCTAGGCCGGCTACGAATTTGCAGCAGCCTGGAGCTGAAAACTGGAGCGTCCCGCTGGCGGTGTTCAGGCTTTATTCGCTGTTAACGTGGGTGACCTAGGCAACCATTCATTTTACGATGGCCCGCCAGTTTTTTAATAGGAGCCCCCGAAGGCGGTGAAGCATCTTACCGACGATACGGGCAACTTTTACGACAAACAACTATATTTTTATGAGGAGCATCTGGGACCGGAGGAGGAGGAGGTCTACGTTCTTTTAGAATTAATGAACGGCTGAAGAGTGTGATATGGAAAACCATACCTGAGGGAATAAACCGATCGACTATTCCAGGTGAGTCGTTCAGTCGAACAGGACTGTGGCAGAATTGATGGTGGTCGAATGTCACCAATGCTGGATTAAGAGCCTTCAATTTGAGGACAACTTAAAAGATACAAGGTGGCAACATCAGGTCGAGCTAGAGCCCTCGGTTGGCCCTATAGGAACTCGATCTGTAGGCATGTTTGGTCGTATGATCGACTAGAAAGGACGACACTTTGTCCAAGACAGTCAACATTCTACCTCATCTTGCCTCGAGTTGGTCGCACCATTAGGCAATCTAATACGAAAGATTAGAGAATAAGAAGAAATCTTACTATAATTAGCGCAAGACGTGAGAAAGGCCACATGGCATTGCTTAATTTGTCCACACCCTGTAACTGCCTCTGACAATAGTGGCAATGCAAGTTGTACTATCGGGCAGCTTGGGCAGCCAACTCATCCAGTCTGGGCAAGCTTCTAGAAGCAAGAAACCCACCCCTATAAATAGGGGTGGGATGTGTGGTTTCAACCATTACATTCACATATATTCCATACATTCTTTGGTACTTTATCTTCTACAAGTACTCATTTAAGCATCGTAGGCTCTTCACCTAAAAAAATCCTCCAATTTGAGTGTTTTTGCAGGTCCGCTGGCAATCTACCGACGAGAAGCTCAAGGTGAGGTCGATCCCAGCTGATCCAGGGTCTTGATATTGAGTATGATCACCCTAATTACTCGGACCTGCCTCAAAGGTCTTCCAAAACTACTCCATTAGTAGATAAACTTTACCTTTGCAATTAAGTTTATCTTAATCCACCTAAGTTGACTATTATAATTATTATTAAACACTTTCTATGATTCAAATTGGTTAATTGTGCAATATCATTCTAATTAAAAAAGGAGCTATTTTATTATAGATATCACATAACAAGAATAAAAATAAATTAAGTATAAATAAATTTATTGGTTGAAAGTTTTTGAAAATTTTAATCAATTATTATATCATTGTGCATAAAATAAAATAAAAGTCTCTCCACGAAGAAAATTTTATAAAAGATAAATAGAAAAAATAAGTAAAAAGAATATTATTTTTTGTTCACCATAAAATACTTTTTGTTTTTGAAAAAACAATGTATACACACACACACACAATTTATTTGATGACAGAACAAATAATAAAATTCAATTAATAATTAATAAAATTACTTATGATTTTCCTCTAAAACTCGTTACATACAATTTATTTATTTTTTTATCTTCTAATCTTATCCAGCAATCAACCGTCTATTTTTGCCTAATTTAGTGGTATAAAGAGATGTTAAACGGGCTAGCCCTAGCAGACTACATGCTAAATAGTTCGGACTTAAAAAGCCCAGATTTAAGACATAATCCTAACCCTAGGGGCCCGCGGGCTATGCGAGCTATAATAATAATAATAATAATAATAATAATAATAATAATAATAATAATAATAATAATAATAACATCAAAAATAAAAGGAATAAAAAAAATATATAAAAAATACACCGACTAGTTAACGATTGTTTTCAACAGCTATTTAGTATTTACCACTCTATATACAACTACACATCATATATAAACAAACATTACAAACCTTAAATAACAAATTTTTTCTCAAGATAAAAAATATTTGAACTATTACTTACAATTTTTTCGGGTTTTAGGCTAAATGGTCAGGGCCTAAAAAACCCTAATTTAAATGGGCTATCAATAAATGACCCTAACCATGTTTATGTTTTCGGACTAAATGGACCGGCCCGTCGGGCCAAAGATTTTTTAGCATCTCTAGTGGTATGGAACAAATGCATTTGGATTGTCATTTTTTATTTCTCCAATTTGTTTAAAAATCTATCACACACATGTAGTGTGTTTCTAAATTTGATTGTAACGTAATTGCTGCATAGTGACGAGATAATGTATAAACCATTAAATTTTAATGATTATAATTTTTTTTAAGTGACACTCAATTACTTTCCTCTCTTTTCCTTCACTTCGCCTGCTACGTTTGTTCGATCCTTTATTCCCAAGCGATAAAGAATACAAAGCACACAAGTGTCGCTTAGGCAGTCTTTATTCTACCCACTACGCGGGAGAAGAAGTAAGGCTGATGTTGTAGCTCTTGTCGCAAGCTAGTAAGTAGCTGTCTCTATCATGCCCTTGAGTTAGGGCATGAGAGCTTGTAAGGAAAAAAGAGGGTGGCCTTCCACTCCTGGGGTTGACTTGACGAGATCAGCATCAATAGGACATGAGGGGGAACAGAAGTCCATGGAGTGTTCTTTATGTGAAGCTGGCATAGAGAATTTGGACCATATTTTTCAATCCATGGGGTCTTCACTGAAGGATTGTCAGCGCCTCAACAAACAAAGCGAAGCAAAGTGAAGTTCCAAGTCAATGGCATCTATCTCTTCTAATTGGTCTATCCGAAGAGGTCTACTTGACTTCTGATCTGATATCTTACCGGATGTAGCTACTTAAAATGTAAAGATGACGATACAAACGAAGTGAAGTGACTAGGCAAAGGTGGGTTCAATCTAGCTATTGGATGACAAGGGGTAAGATAAAAGAACTATGAAATCGGAGTTAGCGGGCTAAGCTAACGCATCTATGATTGAACTGCGCTTCGCGTCGTTCGTTGGTTTTTAAATTTGTATGGTGATTACTCACATATAAAATAAGTAATAATTAAATAAATATAATCCAAAATATTAATAAAAAAATCATTTAGAATACATATCATTGCACCAGATCCTTCAAATTATTCAAGCAAAACTGTAAATTATTAGTTGAATTTATTGAAAAATAAATGATATTTATATTTTTAATAATTATTAGTACTAAAGAATATGATGATTATATAAATATATATTTATAATTAAATATTAATATTGACACCCTTAGCTGAAACACAAATCATGCTCAATTAACTCCAATACACTAATCTTTTTCTTTTTTTTTTTTTGCCAAAACGATAGAGATATTATAAATCAAAACGCACAACTGTGCAAAAAGCAGCCCAAGGCTGAATATTACAACCCGGAACTAGAAACTGAGAGAACGGAACAAAAGTCCGCCTAGAACCTCGCTAGCCACGCTAGAATAGAAAAACAAACACACAACTAACAGACACAAACACACCAACTAAAATCGCTCCCCACAGGAGAATTGAAACGCCCCCCACAGGGGAATCGGCCAATACACCAATCTATATACATGATTTGGTTGATTTTTAATAATAAACAATATGAAGCTTGTTGTAAATTTAATGGTTGCATGATACAATAGAATCTTAAACTATATATTTGTGTGAACATCTAAAAAATAAGAGAAATTAACGTAGATATCTCCTTTTAATAAAATTAGTATTTAAATATGTGTCCACTATATATGGCATGATTGTGTTGTCCTGAGACTGACTCAGAATATAAGATTTTGAACCTTGGTGGGGGTGATGAGTATGATGAGTTGAAGCGCTTCTCGGAGTTGCTTACAAGCATTGACAACGGTACAATTAGTAGATCGAACGACGATTGTGCCGATTTGTATTTTTCAGACAATGTCTCTTTAAAATCACAAGGGAATCCTATTACCACTATTGTTCCGAGTACCCACCAAATGTCAGGTGTTCATGACGATCTTAGCTATCTCAAAGACAGAGCCATACTCGCGCCCACAGTTGATGTCGTTGAGTTCGTTAACGAGTGCATGTGCTCTTTGAACTCATCTAAGGGAAGAACTTAGGCTGTGTTTGATAGACAAATAAACTAGATTATACATTATTTGGTTAGCTTATAAGTTTCGTGTATTTAAATATGTTTCGTTTGGTGGAACGAGCTTTTTTTAAAAAGCTCGAGCTTATCTCATAAGCTTTTTTGGTTAGTTTTTCAAATAAGTTCGTTGAAATTTTTATTTCAGTTAGCTTATCAGCTAATTTTACCAAACACTTTTATCATATAAGCTAGTTTTTCAGCTATAAGTCATAAGCTAATAAATTACTGATAAGCTATAATCTAGCTTATCAGCTAGTTTTACCAAACATAACATTATTTGAGTTCGTACACCCCTTGCAAGTGAGACGCTGGATATGAAACTCTTTAATATCTTCATACTCCTGAATTTCACAATGGATTAAGTGTTCGGGGCTTCTGAGTCATAAATTGCACTGGAACACTCTGGTGATGCTGCTACGAAACACTGATCACTCTATGTTGTTGTGCAAAGGTACACATTTGGTTATCATTAAGCTCTGCAGTCATGTCCTCGAATGCCAAATTTTATTCGACAGAGCTGGTGATAAAATTTTTATTCGTAGACCCACAATCATACTATTTGATTTGAAAGTACCATTCAAGTTTCAGCGCAAACAATTTTCTCTCATAGTTTCATATGCTATTGCAATCCATAAGAGTCAAGGTCAATCTCTGTTACACGTCTGAAGAGCCATGTATTCAATCATGTGCAGTTGTACGTGACTCTTTACATAATCACAAGTCGGAGGGTTTTGAAGATAATGATTTCTAGTGACGGGGAATCTAATGTTAAGAAAATCAAGAATGTTATATATAAAGAAGTATGCAAGAATATTTTGATTCACATTCTCAAATTATTATTTTTTCAATAATTAGGTTATGATTTTTTATTTTTGTTTATATTTCTAATTATATTCTTCTCTATTATATCGTTTTCCATTTCCACAAGTTAATTGAAGCACACAGATTTATCATAAGTTTTATTAATTGACAAGTTTCCAAAAACTCTTTGTCCTCGCCGAAGTCCCTGTTCTTGCGCTCAATCTCAGCTATAAACCCTAAAAAAAATCGACTTTCCCGTTGGAAAATAAAGCAAATGACCGACGAGCAATCACCTCCACTTGTCCCGCGAACGACTCATCGATTGCGAGATCAACGACCTCAATCCCCCAATCGCCCCTCGAAGCTTGCCAAAATCGACGGCGGCGATCTCTCCGGCGGCGTAGAGGAAGAGGAGGAACAGAGAGAGTCCATTGGTAGTGTTATGAGTTCGAACCCAAAGCTTCAAAGATACCTCATAGCAATTGAGTACATTGGCACTCGATTTTCCGGTGCACAGAAACAACCCACCGGCAGGACCGTTGTGGGTGTTCTCGAGGTTAATTTAATTTAGTTATTTTTCTTGCTAATCAGCATTTGTTGCCTAACCCATTTGATTTTTGCTGAAGTTGAAGTTTTCGTCTTTCTGAAAAATTTAGGATGCGTTCCAGAGATTCATTGGGCAGCCCGTCTCCGTTTTCTGCTCCAGTAGAACAGTGAGTTCTTTTATTCATTGGGTTTCGGTTGATGATTTTCCCCGTATTCCTTTATCTTCTTGGATTAATCTTGTTTAATGTGCATTCAATGTCTAATCACTAGTTCACATGTGAATAACTTACAGGACGCCGGTGTTCATGCACTATCAAATGTCTGCCATGTAGATGTTGAGAGGATAAGCAAAAGAAAGCCTGGTGAAGTGGTGGGTTATTTATGCTCATGCGCGTGCTTATGCTTGGAAAAAATGTTGAGATTACTGCTAATACTTATGACCTTTCTTCCTGAGCGAGCATGCCTGTAGGAGTCTTGTTCTTTTTACTTAGCTCAAGAGCTGAGCGGTGGTAATTTTGTGCATAGTTCTTTTATCCTTGAAAATGGTCAATAAAAGCTAGAAGTGTTATTGGACTTTTGGAGTGGGAATAATAGATCTTGAGTGGAGGGAGTTAGGGACGTAAGATTAAAATCGTTAACTTGTGCACAACCAAGTAATATTGTTCATTTTCATTCATGAATCACATATGCTTTTATTATTAGCTGAGACCAAATTTAACCTTGAAAAAAAAATTAATTAGTGAACTGGAGCTCAATATCCAGCTCAAGAGCTTGAGATGTTAAAGCACAGGCTTAGAGTATTTAAGAGACCTTGAGTTTGAGCTTGAAACTATTTTAAAGCTTTATCATTTGCAGCACGAAGGAAATATTAATTTTGTTTTTGCTAGAACAATTTTTCTCTATTCATTGTACCATTTGATATATTATAATCATTTGCAGCATGAAGGAAATATTAATTTTGTTAGGACAATTTTTCTCTATTCATTGTACCATTTGATATATTATTTTATGTGTTCATTATAATTTTATATAAATTAACTGTATGGAATCTTAAATTTCACTTAACTTATTTTACATGTAGTTACCACCTCACGAGCCTTCTGTGGTCAAAAGAGCCGTTAACCACTTTTTACAGGTATACCGTTGATTTTAATTAGCTTATCTCATATTACGTTTAATAATCATCTTGTAGTCATTTGCATGGTTTATCAATAACTATGAATACTTGTCGTCTCCTAAATTGTCCATGATACAAAGGTGTTCCTTTTTTTTTTACCCTTCTCTTTTCCTTTTTCCGTGTTTTTTTCCCACTATATGTTGGTGAATTTATGTCTTTTTTTTTTTCCTGAAAAAGCTCGTGATTGTTGGATCCATATTAGATTTTAGCTATGAAAGCTATCTGAAGTGGGACTACATCAGTACCTGACCAAACAATTTATTATGATTTATAGATATAATACTTATAGAATGATGAAAAATATTTTGATCTAGAGAAGGGGTTTATCTTGCAACGAATTATTTTGATCAGTAAAGAGTATAGCTTGCTTTTGATTCTTGTTATAGTCAAGCATTATTATCCCAAGATTTCACATGTCGGACATTAACATTGTACTTTTTGCAAAAATCCGTAATGTTCATCTCAAATGGTTTTCACAAATATGGTGACCCTTGTTCGTTTTGGTTCTGCTCAGAAAACAGAAGGGGATTTAATGGTGATTGATGTCCGATGTGTCCCATCAAATTATCACGCTCGATATAAAGCCCAAGAGCGCACGTAGGTATCAAACAACACTAACTCTGGTCAATCCACAAAGAGAATCTTTTTATTGTTTCAATTTCATCAATTGACTGCACTCTGAAAACTGGGATGCTAGTGACTGCATGCGGAATTTGTCTTTTAAATATATGATTGTTTTTCTTATCCATATTATGGTCCAAGCGATCAAAACAACCCTATAGAGTTGAGCTCAAGACAGGATTTGATGGAAGTCATTCGGCAAGGGATGCTGATACAATATTTATGAGGAAAGAATCTTGTTAGATCACAGAAAGCTTTTTGGCCACTGGATGAAGTCCCCTTCTATCCGTTGACCTTGATATATTGCTTTCAACATTCTTATTGTTCTGTTCTCTGCAACTCTGACTTCGAGTTGTTAACTTGTTGTTTGAAGTTGCTTCTAACTATATTCCTTGAAGCCTGTGATTTCCGTTTACAGTTTTGGGTATTTTGCTTTAGGTACTTCTATAGAATATTATCTGGGAAGGGGCCTTTGTCAGCTTTTGAGAAAGACCGAGCTTGGCATATTCAAGAAGAACTTGACCTTTTAGCCATGCAGGTTGATTAGCAAATGCACTGGAAATATTTCTGTTTTTTTTTAATTATTTGTGTCATAGTTTTAGCTACTGAAATGATTAGTTTTGGTTGTTACTCAGAAAGCATGCCAAGTACTTATCGGGCGTCATGATTTTAGTTCTTTCAGGGCAGCTGCGTGCGAGGTTTGTTATGTCTTCTAGATGCCTTAGTTTTACATTTTTTTTACGTTAATTGTTTTATTTTAATTATTTGTATTTCTTTTTTTCTTGCTTGGGATTTTCAAATGTGCCTTCTCTAGAAAGCATACCCATTCAAAACTTGATGTGGGGATTGTCTTTCTCTGTCTTATTTGTATATATTCTTATCAAGTGTTTAAAACTTTAATATTTACCGGTTGACAGGCCAAGTCACCCATCAGAACTCTAGAGGAGCTAACCGTAACTGAGGTTGTTTCAAGCCCATATTTTCCTTCTCTTTTGGAGAGAGAACAGAGCAATCGTGCAGCTGTAGATGCAGCCTCAGTCTCAGACAAGTCAGATGCTGATTCTGTTCCATGTATTGTGATGCCCTGTAATAACCCCGTTGGGGATCTCTCTGGAGAATCTATTCAGGGATTTGGCATCAAGGAAAGACACCGGTGTTTTGTGGTCACCACACGAGCGCGCTCTTTCCTTTACCATCAGGTGGCTCTCATGTTCCTTTAGTTGTTTCATATCTGAAAAAAAAACGAGCACACGACTGATGTTATTTCCTTTCGTTTAAATTAAATTTGTTTTTGGTTGACTGTTGTGTATATCTATTATTCACTGTTTTCCATTGCCACTCCTTATTTCTGATGCCAATTGGGAACAAGATTTTTGCTACTTTTCCGTTATTAGATTTTTATTATTTTGTGAATATCAATTATGATTTAAAATGGAATTCACATCTCATACTGTGCTCGAAATTTCGACAGGTTAGATTGCTCGTTGGGGTTCTGAAATCTGTGGGCACTGGCGATCTCTCAGTCCCTGATGGTATGACCATGTAAACTTTTTGCAAGTGCTTGTAGTAGATGGAGATAGTGAAAAGGAAATACCAATGGGTTTTTTCTTAGCTTAATAGTTAATTGCAAAGATGCAATTCTTTTCAAAAGCTATAACTGTTTACTTTACAGACAGACCCTATTGACGATGCCTATTTTGGAAAACAATACAGGGGTTGAGCTGGGATCTTTTGTAATTAGATTAAGTTTACGGAAATAACATTTTTTATAACTGAACCCTGCTTATGGTATAGATCGGTAATTCTCTTAATAGTTTTCCTTATATATCGGTGTAGATCGGTAACATTTTTTCTTATATATATTTTCTTTTGTGGTTTAGTTGACCGAATCTTGAAAGCAAAGGATGTAAGAGCTGCGAGTCCTATGGCCCCCGCATGTGGTCTCTATCTCGGACATGTGAAATACGATCTCCCTCCAAATATGTGACCCGAGTTGTCGATGGCCTGAATTTTTTATCTGTAAACCAAAGACTCCTAAAGTGGCTGAATTGGGGGAGTCCACTGATTGTTATTTGCATAAATTGCTGAATGATGGACCATCTATTTGTTGTGTACTGTAACCTCCCTTGTAGTTTTTCAATAGCAATGGTGATATTTTTATATTGTTTGCAATTGCAAAATTTTTTCTAATTATATTATATTTTGGCATGTATAAATTAAAATAAGGTGAATAATACATGTTGAGCCAATTGTATTCAACCTCGACTTTTTTAGTTCACTCCAGTAAATTCTACACTAGAATAGAGATAATGACTGAAGTTAACTTAAGCCTAGCATTTGAATATGACCACGTCACATTAAGGAAAAAAAACAAACATTTTGTAATCTTCTTATCTAATATGAATGAATGACAAGTCTTTTTTTTTCTTAATTAAGAGTTAGATATGTCTACTTTGAATGAATGAATGACGCTTCACCTACGACCGATAGGTCATGATTTGAGTCACCGAGGAGAGGAAGTGAAAACACTATTGATTCTTCTTTATTTGAAAAAAAAAATCTGTTTTGATTTTATTTGTTATCAGTTTATCTTTTCCGTACAAAAGATAGCATATATGATTAATCATTAAGCAACAAAGAACAACATTAACACTGGAAGAAAGTCACAATTAGGGTTACAAACGAACCGTTCAAAGCTCGACTCGAGCTCGAGTTTGACCAAACTTGAGTCGAGCTTGAGTCCATATTTTGCCTTGTCGAGCGGTTCAAGATAATGTTAAATTACTAAAATACCCCTTATATATATTAGCATAGGTCCTTAAGGGTAATTTTACTTATACCACTTATACATATTAGCATAGGTCCTTAAGGGTAATTTTACTTTTCCACTTAAAAATTTTCGAGTCGAGCTCGAGCATTTTGATTTCGAGTCGAGCTCGAGCCGAGCTATTGTAATTTTTTTTCGAGTCAAGCTCGAGCCTAAAAAATCGAGCTCGAGATCGAGCAGCTAAAAAAAAATCAATCTTACTCTATATGGCCAATGCTCGACCAGCTCGTTTGCAGCCCTAGTCACAAAATTCATGAACAGTTAATAATTGGATCTTCGCAGATTTACAAAAACATAAGCCTACATTCGGAATCTCAAAAGGCTAAACGACAGAAAAAAAAAAAAAA